TCAAGAATCATACTTCTTCAGCTAAAGGTCCAGGCAAGTTTTCTCGTTATAATTCGGTTTTAATATATTCTTTTGGTGATAATAATGTTATTTAATAATGAATTTATACCCCCCAACTCAAGAATCATACTTCTTCAGCTAATGGTAAACTGCTGATGGACACATGTCATCCAGTTCAGAAGGACCCAGTCCAGGAAAGTTTTCTCGTTATAATTCGGTTTTAATATATTCTTTTGGTGATAATAATGTTATTTAATAATGAATATATACCCCCCAACTCAAGAATCATACTTCTTCAGCTAATGGTAAACTGTTGATGGACATATGCCATCCAGTACAAAAGGACCCAGTCCAGGAAAGTTTTCTCGTTATAATTCTGTTTTAATATATTCTTTTAGTGATAATAATATTATTTAATAATGAATATATACCCCCCAACTCAAGAATCATACTTCTTCAGCTAATGGTAAACTGTTGATGGACACATGCCATTCAGTTCAAAAGGACCCAGTCCAGGAAAGTTTTCTCGTTATAATTCGATTTTAATATATTCTTTTAGTGATAATAATGTTATTTAATAATGAATTTATACCTCCCAACTTAAAAATCATACTTCTTCAGCTAATGGTAAACTGTTGATGGACACATGCCATCCAGTTCAAAAGGACCCAGTCCAGGAAAGTTTTCTCGTTATAATTCGGTTTTCATATATTCTTTTAGTGATAATAATGTTATTTAATAATGAATTTATACCTTCCAACTTAAAAATCATACTTCTTCAGCTAATGGTAAACTGTTGATGGACACATGCCATCCAGTTCAAAAGGACCCAGTCCAGGAAAGTTTTCTCGTTATAATTCTGTTTTAATATATTCTTTTAGTGATAATAATATTATTTAATAATGAATATATACCCCCCAACTCAAGAATCATACTTCTTCAGCTAATGGTAAACTGTTGATGGACACATGCCATTCAGTTCAAAAGGACCCATTCCAGGAAAGTTTTCTCGTTATAATTCGATTTTAATATATTCTTTTAGTGATAATAATGTTATTTAATAATGAATTTATACCTCCCAACTTAAAAATCATACTTCTTCAGCTAATGGTAAACTGTTGATGGATACATGCCATCCAGTACAAAAGGACCCAGTCCAGGAAAGTTTTCTCGTTATAATTCGATTTTAATATATTCTTTTAGTGATAATAATGTTATTTAATAATGAATTTATACCTCCCAACTTAAAAATCATACTTCTTCAGCTAATGGTAAACTGTTGATGGACACATGCCATCCAGTTCAAAAGGACTCAGTCCAGGAAAGTTTTCTCATTATAATTCGGTTTTCATATATTCTTTTGGTAATAATAATATTATTTAATAATGAATCTATACCCCCCAACTCAAGAATCATACTTCTTCAGCTAATGGTAAACTGCTGATGGACACATGCCATCCAGTTCAAAAGGACCCAGCCCAGGAAAGTTTTCTCGTTATAATTCGGTTTTAATATATTCTTTTGGTAATAATAATGTTTTTTAATAATGAATTTATACCCCCAACTCAAGAATCAGACTTCTTCAGCTAATGGTAATCTGCTGATGGACACATGCCATCCAGTTCAAAAGGACCCAGTCCATGAAAGTTTTCTCGTTATAATTCTGTTTTAATATATTCTTTTAGTGATAATAATGTTATTTAATAATGAATTTATACCCCCCAACTCAAGAATCATACTTCTTCAGCTAATGGTAAACTGCTGATGGACACATGCCATCCAGTTCAAAAGGACCCAGTCCAGGAAAGTTTTCTCGTTATAATTCGGTTTTAATATATTTTTTTAGTGATAATAATGTTATTTAATAATGAATTTATACCCCCCAACTCAAGAATCATACTTCTTCAGCTAATGGTAAACTGCTGATGGACACATGTCATCCAGTTCAGAAGGACCCAGTCCAGGAAAGTTTTCTCGTTATAATTCGGTTTTAATATATTCTTTTGGTGATAATAATGTTATTTAATAATGAATCTATACCCCCCAACTCAAGAATCATACTTCTTCAGCTAATGGTAAACTGCTGATGGACACATGCCATCCAGTTCAAAAGGACCCAGTCCAGGAAAGTTTTCTCGTTATAATTCGGTTTTAATATATTCTTTTGGTAATAATAATATTATTTAATAATGAATCTATTCCCCCAACTCAAGAATCATACTTCTTCAGCTAATGGTAAACTGCTGATGGACACATGCCATCCAGTTCAAAAGGACCCAGTCCAGGAAAGTTTTCTCGTTATAATTCGGTTTTAATATATTCTTTTGGTAATAATAATATTATTTAATAATGAATCTATACCCCCCAACTCAAGAATCATACTTCTTCAGCTAATGGTAAACTGCTGATGGACACATGCCATCCAGTTCAAAAGGACCCAGTCCAGGAAAGTTTTCTCGTTATAATTCGGTTTTAATATATTCTTTTAGTGATAATAATGTTATTTAATAATGAATTTATACCCCCCAACTCAAGAATCATACTTCTTCAGCTAATGGTAAACTGCTGATGGACACATGCCATCCAGTTCAGAAGAACCACACAGTTGCCAGTTGTTTAGGAAAAACACATGCCATCCAGTTCAAAAGGACCCAGTCCAGGAAAGTTTTTTCGTTATAATTCGGTTTTAATATATTCTTTTGGTAATAATAATATTATTTAATAATGAATCTATACCCCCCAACTCAAGAATCATACTTCTTCAGCTAATGGTAAACTGCTGATGGACACATGCCATCCAGTTCAAAAGGACCCAGTCCAGGAAAGTTTTCTCGTTATAATTCGGTTTTAATATATTCTTTTGATGATAATAATGTTATTTAATAATGAATTTATACCCCCAACTCAAGAATCATACTTCTTCAGCTAATGGTAAACTGCTGATGGACACATGCCATCCAGTTCAGAAGAACCACACAGTTGCCAGTTGTTTAGGAAAACACATGCCATCCAGTTCAAAAGGACCCAGTCCAGGAAAGTTTTTTCGTTATAATTCGGTTTTAATATATTCTTTTGGTAATAATAATATTATTTAATAATGAATCTATACCCCCCAACTCAAGAATCATACTTCTTCAGCTAATGGTAAACTGCTGATGGACACATGCCATCCAGTTCAAAAGGACCCAGCCCAGGAAAGTTTTCTCGTTATAATTCGGTTTTAATATATTCTTTTGGTAATAATAATGTTTTTTAATAATGAATGTATATCCCCCAACTCAAGAATCATACTTCTTCTGGTAATGGTAAACTGTTGATGGACACATGCCATCCAGTTCAAAAGGACCCAGTCCAAGAAAGTTTTCTCGTTATAATTCGATTTTAATATATTCTTATAGTGATAATAATGTTATTTAATAATGAATTTATACCTCCCAACTTAAGAATCATACTTCTTCAGCTAATGGTAAACTGCTGATGGACACATGCCATCCAGTTCAGAAGAACCACACAGTTGCCAGTTGTTCAGGAAAACATAACTAAGTAATAATTAAAGTTAAATTAACTTCAGTTTTTAACCACTCTTCGAATATAGTGTTTTTAACCAAAGTTTTTGCAAATAAGAAATAGAATGGCAACACTGCATAGTGCTTCAAATAAACATAGTGTACTATATGCCGAATTTTATGCTGAATCCAATTATTATCTATAGAAAAATGAGGGATGCAATTTAAAAAAAAACATAAAACTTTATCATAACTTTTTTTGTGACTTCCTGTATACAACAAAATATTTTTAAGATAAAAAAAATAAAAATTTTTCATATCTTCCAAAACAACGACGATATTGGACTTCCTCGCAGTAAATAAGCTACCTTATTTTATAATCATTCCTTATGATAAAAATGCAATAAGATTACCTTATTTTTAAGACACGTTGCATATAGCCCATATAGGTGTGTTATTGCAACGATAAAGAGTGGAGAATAAATAATAAATACTGGCACAAATATTTATTTAAATAAATAAGCAAAACGAAAATTTTCCTAATACCACCTTTTATTTTTTTTTAAATACCTATATTGATAAGATTATTATTTTCACCATGTAAACTAGTGAATATACTGGTTTAAATATACATATTTTGAGGTGTGTTGTTTTAGAAAATTTTTATGACAAATATTCAAAAATTTATAAATTTTTTTATAAATTTTCTGTCCAATAGAGAACACAAAAAACACATTTTTTGAATAAAACGTTTACATGAATTTCTCTGTCAATAAATTTCATAGACTTGGTTATCAAACCGTGTAGATTACTTAAATAATTACAAATTTTCTAAAAAGAAAAATTAACACGTTTTTTGAACAAAACAAAATAATATTAACTAAACAAAACTAGAAAACGTAATTTTTACTACATCAGAAGCAAATAAAAATTAATACGTAGCCAAGAGTCATAAAATTCAAGATTTCTCGGGGGAGGCCCAGCAGTACCTGGGGGGGGGGGACCGTCACCCCCGGGCACCCCTGTAGTTACGCCAATGGAAATGACGATCAATGACATTTACCATATAAATTTACATATAAAATGACAGCGATCTACTTTTAATGCAAAAGTACTTAAAATATCTCTTCTTTAAACCTTTTTCTAAACTTTCAAATTACAAAAATTCGCTATGCTTTAATATACAGACACAAACACAGGAGCCATCCGGTCCTCTCATTTCCAACTATACACACCCTGTTGCCAAATCTAACCTTTTTATTCTCTTACCACACAGTGTAAAGTGCAAATATAAACTACTCATAAAGGAAAACAGATTCCTGCAATATTTAACGTCAAATTGAGGTCATTTCCTCTAATAAAACCTTCCTCGCCTTATGTTGTTGCAAACAAAACTCATTATATATGTACCTTGAACAAAGTCTGATAACTTTTACGAGTCTACAAACAGTGTGGCAACGCTGTTAGACGCGTTCTTGTTCTCCCTTCTTCAAATTCAAAGCGCCGCCTGCTTGATTCAGTCTGGGTTTGTGCGAGTGTAGTAGCATTGAAGCTAAAGAGATAAATAATTTTTGTAATCTTGTTAAAGTATATTAAAATCGATTTAATTTAAAATAAAACTTGGTGTACCGAGTTCTTTGGCAGGTTTTTTGATCAAAACAACCGGAAAAATCATCTAAAATGGCTTCTTTCCTCACGTTCGCAGTGGCTTTAATTTTGGCTGTAAATGCTGGTAAGGGCGTTATTTAGTCATTTAAAAAGTAGTAGAAACTTTTTTTTTCTTTTTTTTTTTGTAATATTTAATTTTATTTTTTTTTAATAAGTTATTCATTTTGTGACATTGAATTCTTAAAAAAAAGCAGAGATTTAAGTGCGTTTTAATTACACTAAAATTCATTTAACTAAACGACCAAAGCCAGCTTGATCATCAGTATTTTTGGCACGTTTTATAGCTTCCCTTTTTTATTCTTTATTTTCCTTTTAATTAGTTGATTTCAATTTCTAGTTTTTTAGAAAATCGCATTTTTTTGGTAATAATTCCTCTTCACATTCGCACTTGCGTTGTATTATTTTTCAATGCGTTATATTTTTATTTATTTAATACTGTTTTAATGTTGTTATACATTTATTTCATTGAGTTATATTTTATTTATTTAATATGTTTTTATTTATCGGTAGGTACCTTGGATTGATTAATAAATTCAATAATAGTCAGATAAGAGTGTATAAATGTTATTACTACCGTATGATAAAAAAAAACGGACAGGGAATTCGTCCAGCTGGTTAAGAAGTGACGATCGATGACATTTCCCTTATAAATTTAGATAGAAAATGACAACGATCTTCATTTCATAGCCATCGATGACGCCGTTTTTTTTTCGGTCATATTGTATAATATATAGGTACATTTTTTTAAGTTCAATCAATCTTTACCCAGTTAATTGTGGAATATTTTTGTATAAAGGTTATCGGTTTTAGAGTAAATTCATTTTAAAAATAAAAAAATCAGACTTTGTCTTATTAATTATAAACTCATGATTCTGAGTCATTGTACAATTATAAATAACAAATTTGCATACACTAATGTGTATTATTATACCTACCTAATGTTACATGTATAGTAAGAGATTTGTGTGTATTTAACTACACAGTTTCTAATATTTTTTAATTAATAGACTAGAATAGTAAATAATAATATGTATGTTATGGTACAAGGTTATGATTTCTACAGGATGATCTCTACTTTTTATGTTCTAATATATTTCTTATATTCTTGTAGTTTCGTTTTATTCTCAAACTAATGATTTCTGTTTGTCTCACAATTTTTATTTTATCATTTTATACCTTAAAGGGTGGTATAGTCTGTCCAACGAGAAGATCCTTGACAGTGATAGGTGTGTCTGTCATTTTAATTTCAAAGTAGTTTATTTTATTTTACAAAGAAATAAGTTGGTACAACTGGAACGCATAGCAGGAAATATTTAAAATTTGATTGACAAGATGACAAGTGCTGTGGACAAGTGATTACTTCAAAATATTGTGAAAAAAACTGTATAAAACTGAAAAAATGTAATCATCTGCCAGGCATTGGCTTTCTTTGTCACTCACATTGCTTAAATCATGATACCGCGGCCATTTTGTCAACAAAGAAGCTGGCCGGCTGTCCTGGCAAGTGATTTAAAACAATTTTGCTTTTTACAATATTAAATTACCATTTGGATGTATTTAATGCGATTATTCAATTAACTGGTAAGTCAGAAATTACACACAAATACTTTATTCGTAAATACAACTAAGATGTAAACGTAGTTTTGTATTTTTAGATTTCAACTTTTGCAAAGACCCGCCGATAGAACTTGCCTGGCAGCGTACCTGTTTAACTAAACGTATTATTTCCTGATAATAATATCAAAACACGTAAGTACCTCTATAATTTATGATGACAAATGATTTTGATTATGTTTTATGTTATTTAAATACTTTCTAACCTCAAATAATAGTAAGATCCTTGTTTATATCGCACAGCCCGTTCAAAACTGTATTGTCTTCAAAAAATGTTTACAAAACAAACAATTATTACAAAAACAATGTCCTTTTAATCTGATTTATACCTCAGAAGGATGCCAGTAAAATTTTATTAAATCAACATTATATTATTTGGCCATTAATATCCAAAAAGGAGCATATTGCCTTAACTTAAATTTACATTTACTTCTCCTGACAATGTTCTCTATATTCTTTATTTTGAGTTAGTAAACTTTTGAACGGGATGTGCGATATATAAAATACATAATATATCCAAGGGTATGATCTGATAAAAGTATTTTTTGATGCATTTTTTGGTTGTTTATGCACGTTGGCTTGGTTTATGTTTTATTCAGCTGATATTTATTTGGTATAACAGTTTTTTTTTTGCCTTTGGAATGGCATGCATTGAGGCTAGATAGTGTTTCATTAGATCATTAAAGGAATTTAAATTAGCATATATTTTTTGGCATATTAGTGTATTATCATGATACAGGTAGTTGTATCATAGTGCCTTATGCATGTTTTTTACCTATTATATACTTATATAATATATTATCAGTAAAGATGATAACATACTACTAAAATGTCTTTTTAATAGTATGTTTATCTTTCCAATTCACTAGTTATTTGCAAAATGTATTTTGAACTAATTTAAGTCATTAATTGATCATCTTTCTTTTTCAGGTTCCGGGATATTATTTTTCATTGTTAAAAAAATATAATATTTTTATATATTTTTGTAATATAAATCGCAGCTCTAAAAAATAAATGATATTGTTTACTAATGTGTAATTTATTTACTATGAATTTTCTCTGAAAATAATAAGTCTTTAATAATATCATTGATTTGCTGTGTAAAGTTAATAGACATATTTTTTAATACATTAAATTATATTAAAGTAATAAAAAATATGTTTATTAACTTTAAACAGTAAGTCAGTGATACTTATAAAAATATATTTTTTTTAAATTTCCCCTCTTTTAAGCCCCGCCCCTCCAATTCCCCTCAATTTAGCTAGTACTGCCAGGCGACACCAGGTGGCGTCTGTTTCCATTTTTTAACATGAAGTTAGCATTTCTTTAATGTACCTATTCTCTGGCAGGAAATATTTAAAATTTGATTGACAAGATGACAAGTGCTGTGGACAAGTGATTACTTCAAAATATTGTGAAAAAAACTGTATAAAACTGAAAAAATGTAATCGAGTTATTTTATTTAATAAAAACGGTATGTGTTAATACAAAACAAACAAGAACAAGACACTACATACCAAAAAAATATAAAAAAGAACTATTATTTACTTTCAAGCTTTATAAAACTACCCGCATTTTGTAATATTCCACAGGAATAAATAAAACAACATAGGTAAATAAAACAAACTATTTTATTAATAATAACACCTACCAAATTTTATACCTTAAAGGTTGATTAATTAATTTTAATCTTAATTTTTTTAAACCAGTACCTTTTGACATTATTTTTCTGCAGTACTAAAATCCATTATTTACCTATCGTGTGATGTCGATATTTTACAGCTGCTCCAGTTTTTAGTATGTGTTTAGTTTGATCCTTCTACCATATACGAGATGCACTTATCTACGACAAAATGGTATACAAACTTTATCGATGGCAACTTCATTAGTGTATAAGACTTTCTGCCTGGGCAGCGAGTATTAACCATAAACTGTGCTCTGGGTCTACAGTTAATTTTCACTCAATTTTTCTTCCACTTGACTTCAAAAGACACAAAACACATGTAATAATACGAATCAAAATGCATCATCTTCCAAAACGCAGGGTATTTAACAAAAGTTGACACAAAATTATAACCTATAATTTGGCAAGACTTTGACAAGCGTCAAAAATGACAAAAATCTAAAGGCGAGTTCATACGCATCGGCGTCCGTTTGTCGTTCATCATTCCGTCAAACCAATAAAATTGAAATACGATCTGTCATTTTTTAAATAAACCAATAAAACTGGTTAAAAACAACAAGACACGACATCCATAGATAACTTAAAAATTATTAGAAACTTTTTTTAGTAAAATAAGTAGATTGGTATGGGACGTCATCTGCTTTTCTTCTGTCATCGTCTGTCGAAATCTTACCTGAGAAAAAAAACAGAGTATATATATTTTTCCTTTTCCATTTTTCAAATAAATCGAAAATACCAGAAAATTAAAAAAAAATGGCGCCAGAGGCACGTATAGCCGCCCATACTAACATATGTTAATAAAAAGTTGGTAGGCAGTTCTTTTAGTTTCAAAGTAAAGGAATTTCTCCATTTTTTTGAAAACCGCGTTTCGCTAGCTACTGTAATTTTGGAGTTACGATTTTTTAAATTTTTAACCCCTTCCCATACCCCCTTACAAACCCCCCACCCCCACCAAAAATTAATGGCCAGATTCTCGGGTGGCACAGTATTTTTGCGCCAAATTTTGTTTAAAATCGGTTTAGCGGTTTTTGAGTTATCGTGTTACAGACAGACGGACAGACAGACAAACAGACACCATGAAAATATTTTGTATTTAGGTCATTTATGACGCAAATAACTCATTTTGAGTGAAATTAAAAAAAAAACTTCTTTTTGCCGATCTTAATAGCCTACCATACCACTGGAATTTTTCGGTTTTTTTCGACACTCTAAAATTCAGTACCTACGTTGCCATATTTTCAAGATATTATGTAGTTTAACTGAAAATTTAAAAGTTTTCAATTTTTTTTCACCAAAGAAACTCATAGACCTGTACTTTGTACTTCCCAAATCTCGTACTATATCTAGAAATTCATTTACCCAGTAGTAGTTATAAAAAGCATTTTTGGTAAACTCTGTCTCAAATAGTTCCTGAAAAAAAATAATGTTTTTAAGGTCCGATTAAATTTATATCTCCGAAACTAAAGTTTCAAAAAATCTGGTACTATATCTAGAAATTCATTTACCCAGCAGTAATTATAAAAAGTATTTTTATACAAATGATATATGATTTAGTGTAAAAATACTGTACTGAAAATGAAAAGAAATATAGCACATTGTTGTTCAGTTTTCGAATGCATATCAGTAACTGTAGATCAGAAAAAAACAAGTTATGGCAAATAAGAAAAATACAAATCTGTCAAGTGTTTTTTTTATCAGAAAGTCCAATATCTATTATCAAAAAGATATTAAAAACTTTTGAGTACTCTTCATGGCTTTAGGTAAACACAAGGTATTTTGTATGGCATTTTGCCAGAGTAGAGAGTATTTTTACAGGAAATATTATAGATCGACTTCGCCATAATTATCACATCTTTGACGCCGTTTTTTTCTCGATAGTATGGTACCTAACTTAGAGAATAGCATACCGGGTGTTGCATCGTCGGACGGGACATAAGAAATCCCAGGTAAATTTTAATGGAGTTAATTATTGGCTTCCCTAATTATTTTAGAGCATAATTCTATTTAGGTTTATTGAAGAGCTCTAAAACCCACATTTCAAAAGAATAACTTTAGATATTTTTGATTAGCTCGTTTACGAGTTATCGCCGATTTCTTTTTAAATATTTCTCCTTTCTTATGGCCCTGTATTTACTTATGAGCACCAGTCAAGGTAAAAGATAACTGTCAAATGAAGTTGTCATTTCAGAAATTTACCTATTTAGTGCTTTATTATTATTGAAAACTCATTCCTACATCGGAAATCTTAAAGATGTATTTATAAATACAAATTAATATGAATTAAAGTAAAATAAAGTAATCAATTACAAGGTTAATTATAGTATTATTACAATATTCATAAACTTATTAATTTACGTACTATTAAATTGTTAGAACTTTAGGATTTAAGAAGATGTTCAAATATTCCTCCATCGACTGCTAGACAATAACCCAGGCGATCATAAAATTCTCTTCTTACATTCGCTAGTTGGTAAACTGAAATTTTATTGCATTCGGCAGAAATAGCATTTTTTAACTCGTCTAGATTTGGGTATTTTTTATCCTTGTATATCCTGTTTTTTAAATGGCCCCAGAGAAAGAAATCATTTGGCGAAATATCAGGAGACCTTGCTGGCCAATTTACTATATGATTTAGGCCAATAACGTTTCCGTTAAAACTATTGTCTAAATATTCCAGAACAGCCAGGGTACTATGTGCCGGGCAGCCATCCATTTGGTACCAACCTTCCTGATTTTCCCTAGCGGCATCATGTAAAGCAGGTAAAATATGATTTTCGAGTAGTTCCAAATAATATTCTGCATTTAAATTTCGCGTAAGAAATAATGGCCCGATAATATTGTGTCCGAATATCCCTGCCCAAACATTTACTTTCTGTGGATATTGCGTCCTTGTTTCGACAAACCTGTGTTCGGTTTTCTTTGTTCCAATATCGGTAATTTTGAACATTGGGTTCATTATTTAAGGTAAACGTGCATTCGTCAGTGAAACATATGTTTCCATCATATCAAAACAAAATGCCTGCCGCCGTATTTCGTCCCCATCTCGTAGCTCTTGGTGATGCTTTTCATATTTGAAGGAATAGTATTTATGTAGTGTGATCTATTCCTATTTCATCCTCAAGTTTCCTTGTGCTGATCTTTCCATCGTTCTCTTCCACGCACAATAAAACTTCCAAGTCGGTATAATCTTCTCTGTGTTCCTGCCTTGCTTCACATCAGCAGATATTTATTAGGGTACGTTTGGTCTCAAATCTCTGGATATTCCTTGCGATTGTAGATTTTCCAGGTATCGGTCTATTTGGATACAGAGCAACAAACATGTCCGACACCTTTTGATAACTATTTCCTTGATAATACCATTTAATCATCAATACTTTTTCTTCGGTAGTGTAATTCATGGCTAATATTTTCGATGTAGGTATGAGTTTTCAATAATAATAAAGGTAAATTTCAATAAATAGGTAAATTTCTGAAATGACAGACTTCATTTGACAGTTATCTTTTACCTTGACTGGTGCTCATAAATAAATACAGGGCCATAAGAAAGGAGAAATATTTAAAAAGAAATCGGCGGTAACTCGTAAACGGGCTAATCAAAAATATCTAAAGTTATTCTTTTGAATTTGGGTTTTAGTGCTCTTCAATAAACCTAAATAGAATTATTCTCTAAAATAATTAGGGAAGCCAATAACTGACCCCATTAACATTTACATGGGATTTCCTATGTCCCGCTCGAAGATGCAACACCCGGTATATGTTGGTCTTTCAATAGTTAGTAGCCTTTCATAATTTTTAATGATTTCCCAATAATTTTTTTATTTTTTATGATCTACACTTCCGCTTTTGTTATCCAAAAGCGGTGTTGCCAGAAGGGAGAAATAGTCTTAATTTCAAGGAATTTTTTTTTCTGGTAGTGTTATGAATTCTAATTGTTAATTTTTGAAAATTTGATCAGGTATTTGTCGTTTGTAATTCCCTGATCTTTATTTTAGCCAATGGATTGAAATGCTACTCCTGCAACAGCAAAGACAGCACCGCCTGCGGTTGGGGATTGGCTTCCTTCACCTACAGCACTGAAGAATGTCAAAGTGCCGGATTTTTGAACGCCTTGGTAGGGCCTAAATGTTACAAGATCGAAGCTAAAGGTGAGATTAGAAAATATAATTTTATTTTTCTAGGTATATTAACTCAGAATCTTTCAACAACACCTTATTTGCTTATCAAATCTGCTCTACTAAATTTTACAAGATCTGTTTGGGTGGGTAAATGATCTTAAGTCGACTAGCTGACTAATGCATAGGCTGTGACTTTACTGTTAAAACAGATTTTTGTTTTGATTCTCAGCTCGCAGCTATAAGTAAATAACACATGGTATTTAAAAACTTCATTATAAAATAATGACACATTTTGTTTAGATAAGGTTATATAGTAATCGCAAAACAATTTCCGATGCATGTGATCAACTTGGAGCGACAAGCGACGGCGACAGCGCTGCCAGATTGTGATGGATTTATGAGATGAATCTTAATTTAAAATTGACAAACCAGATATTTATTATATCAATTTTTAAAGAGTTGTACGTGTTATTTTTAATTTATTAAAAAACTAGTCCCTTATGAAGATTATTATAACCGTTCTTATGGGTTATTTATTTATTGATGTATATCTTACAACGCCATAAGTGGCAATAACAAGTAAGAGGGTGCTATTAATGCACAAACTAATAATTAGCGATGGGAACTATCGAATGAATTAGACTATCGAATGGTTACTGAATGAATGATTTCAACTATCGAATGGTTTTATTCGAATAAAATCATTCATTCATTTGTATACTAAAGCATATGTGACAACCTCGCCGTGCAACTAAATGGTTATCGTTGAGCCAATGACTATGGAATGCTTTTGATAAATGAAATTTAGTATTCGTTTGATTTTAAGTACGTCAGTGCATTACTAGTTCTTCAAATTTTATAACTTCACCTTATAAATACTGTGCTATTTTTGCGTTTATTAAAATATTTAAAATACTAAAATAGTAGTTTTTTTTAATTGAGGATTGTGTGCGTGTGCGGGTGTCAAAATTTTTCCGAAAAATTTGTGTGATTTTCCGTAGCCCGATCTTTCAATTATTTTATTTTATATGGTATATATGGTCTATTTTTTAATGGGAAATTTTGAGAAGTAGCAATTTTTAAGAGAGATGAGATGAACTTAGAATTAATTTTTAAAATACATATTTGTATTTTAGATGTTTTAATAATATGAATTAGTTGAACTTAATAATCATATATATTTAAGTAATGTGGTTAAGTAAATGGGGGTGGGGGTTTATCGAACTCAAACTATGGGGTGTGAAAATTAAATTGAAAGTTTTACACGTGCCAATTTAAAAAAAAGTTAACGATGTTTGTATTTTGTTTATGCTAATTCTCTTACATGTAGTTTTTTGCCAAGAAATATTTCTATTTTTTAAAGTAAATGCCAGTAAAAATAAATATTATTTTTAAATAGTAATATAAAGTACCTAATATAAATAATTTTGATTTCTAATTTTTTATTTATATTTTCCTTCCATTACACTGCATGCTTAGAAAATTAATAAATGTTTATATTTCATGATTTTAAAGTTTGTTGTTAATATAACAAATTAGTTCTGTAATTATTATTATTTAATAAACCAACGTTGCCAAAAAATTTAAAGACTATTTTATTTTTAAATAGGATCTAATATAAATAATTTTGACATCTAATTTGTTGTTTATATTTTGCTACTACGTAAAAATATTTTTATATTAAATTATTTTAAATTTTGTTGTTAATTGGTATAACAAATTATTACTATTATTTTTATTAAACCAGTCTTTGCTTAAAAACATTAAAAATCATTTTCCTACATCCAAAATAACAAGTATTATTGCAGTGTAACAACAGAATATTAATAAAAAAATGCAAAATATATGAACTATACTATAACTAACTAAAGCCAAACAATAATATTCTTTGCTAATATCAACTAATACCAATATATGGCAACAGCGCCCTTCATATGTATTTTCTGTGTAAATACTAGCACCTCAATAAAAAAAAATAATGTGTTCTTATCTTTATATGACTCCTGCAAAAAATCAAAGATGCCGGCTTCTTTTCATAGCATTGCCAATCGACCGCTGTCGGGTTTCTCGGAAAGAAACCTACGTCGCCGTATAATAATATATTTATTATCGATCCTGACGAATAAATGAATTTCATAAATGAATGAATTTTATAAATGAATGGTTTTTGCTGCCGAATTACTAGAATACAATATTTCAAGGCAGATGACGCATCTATTCGATGATTTTTATTCGAATAGTTTTCAACGAATGTTTTTTTACTAGCTATCGAATTATTCGAATGAATTGCAACTATCGAATGTTTCGATAGTATTCATTCGATAGTTCCCACTACTACTAATAATCACAGAATTTAATAAAAACTAACTTTGAAATTGGTATAATGTGCCTATCAATCAAACTTACTTTTTTGACTGCAGTCAAGGATAATAAAGGACCTTTATTGTCACGTTCTCGTTCAAAATAGTTTTAAAAAACAGAGAAGCTCCAAGCACTTTGCTTCGACTGTTTAAATGCTTCGGAATATTTTCAACACACAAATTTCAAGAAATGCAATACAAAGACTCGAAAATTTAGTTCTTAAAAGAATAGCATAAGAGCTGACGACATATTTAGAGAACATATTTTAGGCAAGCTAGAATAACTAAAAATGTATAGTTTATTAACTGGTGAACCCAGAATCCTAAGTCTGGCTGGGGGATTGGGGTATTTCGCTACTGCGCAACCTATAACATTTGTAAAAAAATAAATCCAAAAAACATTCTGAGGCAACTTGAAATTTGTTTATTCTTAAATTTTAGCATCTATTTAACCTAGAAATAAGTATGCCAGACTTTTTTTTCGGGTTTAAAGTGTAACCCGACCATTGCAAATATGTTTAATTATTATACCTGGAAAACATACTTTAGGCATTCTAAAATTTTTACAGCGTGTTTATTAGATGATATTAAAAAATATGTGTTAATTGCCAGACGAATTCAATGGGATTTAATACTTGCCTGACGCGCATAAAGATTTTAAATGAGCGCGATAAGAAAGTCTTATGAGTATCTATAAGCGCGAGAAAGATAGTTATTCAGGCCCAGTCGGCAGCCGATGCGGCTGACGTTACAGCATTTTGGAGTCGTAAAAGTTTAAAAAAAACTAACTAATATTGAATACATAAAAAGAAAATGTTTTTAATAAAAATGTATGATTGAAATCCTTTCAATAAGAAGACTTTTTAATTAAGTATTTTGTATCTGTTTGTCTGCCTTCATCAAAAAGAATAACTTTGTCACTAGTAACTTTTTTACAAACTACACAACTTAAATGTTTTTTTATCCATTGTGATTTAGTAGTTAGTAGCGAAATTAGTAGTTACTTAAATATTTATTTGCAGTAATTATTCTAAACTATTTACACTATGCACATCAATATTTAATTTATAAGTACCTACATATTTGTACATGGTAACTTAATTCCAACAAAATAATCTCTGAATTAAAAGTCTGCAAATAATTGAAATGAAACCGAAAAAAAATTATTTTTATGAAAATTCGAAGTACTCCAAAATACTGTTACGTCAGCCGCATCGGCTGCCGACGGGTCTCAATAAACTATCTTTCGCCTTATAGATACTCGCAAAAGATTGTCGCGCTCATTTAAAATATTTATTCGCGTCAGGCAAGTATTAAAACCTACGTTGAATTCTGGCAATTAACACATATTTTTAATATCATCTAATCAACACGCTGTAAAAAATTTTAGAATGCCTAAAGTATGTTTTCCAGGTATAATAATGAAACATATTTGTAATGGTCAGGTTACACTTTAAACCCAAAAAAAAGTCTGACGTCAGAATGTTTCTATTGCTAGGTTAAATAGATGCTTAAAATTTAAGAATAAACAAATTTCAAGTTGCCTCAAGAATGTTTTTTGATTTATTTTTTTGCAATGTTATGGGTTGCGCAGTAGCGAAATACCCCCAATCCCCCAGCCAGACTTAGGATTCTGGGTTCACAAGTTATTAAACTTTATTTTTTTTTGTTATTCTATCTTGCCTAAAATATGTTCTCTAAATATGTCGCAAGCTCTCCGGCTAGTTTGTGCTTAAAAGTGCAATTTAAAAAAAAAGGCTATGAAAATAGGCAAAAAAATGAGAATTGCCCACAAAGATTCAACAACACGTTATTATATAAAATAATGACACTAGGATAATTGTCAAATAATAAAGAACAACATTGCTGATCGCGGCGCAATGTGACCAACATAGCGATAATAAAATTCGGTTTAAACTAATTTTTGCAGCTTTAATCTAACTAAAATATCTGTTACAATCATTTGCTCTATAAAGTAAAATGAAGAGCTGCTCGGTATCTTAAATCATACAACAAATTTAAACATTTTTGCCAAAATTTCATTCAGTCAGGTTTATAAACAGTCAGGTATATAATATCGACACGTCAGTGTCGATATTATTGATGACGTGCATCGGAAAATGTTTTGCGATTACTAATACATGCATCTAAGTACAAATACTGTTTTTATGTTCTCGATATGAATAATGTTGTTAATTGCTAAAGATATTTTCTGATTTGATATGTTCATTCCTGTTTTTATTACAAAGGCGTTTTAAATCGTTTCAGAATGATATCATAGACGCTAAAAGTTTAGGTCATTGCTAACAGTGGCGGACCTTGAAGTTTATTTTCGTCTTTTTTAATATACCCAAGTTGAAACAAACCATTGTAGAATTTAAAAGAGTCATTATTTTTTCGTTTGAGGTGTTCTCATTGACAATAAGAATAATATACCGGGTGTTCCATCGTCGAGCGGGACATAGGAAATCCCATGTAAATTTTAATGGGGTCAATTATTGGCTTCCCTAATTATTTTAGAGAATAATTCTATTTAGGTTTATTGAAGAGCACTAAAACCCACATTCAAAAGAATAACTTTAGATAATTTTGATTAGTCCGTTTACGAGTTATCGCCGATTTCTTTTTAAATATTTCTCCTTTCTTATGGCCCTGTATTTACTTAATTTACCAGTCAAGGTAAAAGATAACTGTCAAATGAAGTTGTCATTTCAGAAATTGATCTATTTAGTGCTTTATTATTATTATTAAAAACTCATACCTACATCGAAAATATTAGCCATGAATTACACTACCGAAGAAAAAGTATTGATGATTAAATGTATTATCAAGGAAATAGTTATCAAAAGGTGTCGGACATGTTTGCTGCTCTGTATCCGAATAGACCGATACCTGAAAATCTACGATCGCAAGGAATATCCAGAGATTTGAGACCAAAGGTACCCTGATAAATAACTGCAGATGTGAAGCAAGGCAGGAACAGAGAGAAGATGCAAGAAATGATACCGACTTGGAAGTTTTATTGTGCGTGGAAGAGAACGATGGAAAGATCAGCACAAGGAAACTTGAGGATGAAATAGGAATAGACTACAGCGTTTCGAATTTTGAAACGAAATAAACACTATTGCTTGAAATATGAAAATCATTACCAAGAGCTACGAGATGGGGACGAAATACGGCGGCAGGCGTTTTGTTTTGATATGATGGAAACATATGTTTCACTGACGAATGCACGTTTACCTTAAATAATGAACCCAATGTTCAAAATTACCGATATTGGAACAAAGAAAACCAACACAGGTTTGTCGAAACAAGGACGCAATATCCACAGAAAGTAAATGTTTGGGCAGGGATATTCGGACACAATATTATCGGGCCATTATTTCTTACGCGAAATTTAAATGCAGAATATTATTTGGAACTACTCGAAAATCATATTTTACCTGCTTTACATGGTGTCGCTAGGGAAAATCAGGAAGTTTGGTACCAAATGGATGGCTGCCCGGCACACAGTACCCTGGCTGTTCGGGAATATTTAGACAATAGTTTTAACGGAAACGTTATTGGTCTAAATCATACAGTAAACTCAGCAAGGTCTCCTGATATTTCGCCAAATGATTTCTTTCTCTGGGGCCATTTAAAAAACAGGATATACAAGGATAAAAAATACCCAAATCTAGACGAGTTAAAAAATTGTATTTCTGCCGAATGCAATAGAATTTCAGTTTACTAACTAGCGAATGTAAGAAGAGAATTTTATGATCGCCTGGGTTATTGTCTAGCAGTCGATGGAGGAATATTTGAACATCTTCTTAAATCGTAAAGTTCTAACAATTTAACAGTACCTAAATTAATAAGTTATTGAATATCGTAATAATACTATAATTAACCTTGTAATTGATTACTTTATTCTACTTTAATTCATATTAATTTGTATTTATAAATACATCTTTAAGATTTCCGATGTAGGAATGAGTTTTGAGACAGTTATCTTTTACCTTGACTGGTGCTCATAAGTAAATACAGGGCCATAAGAAAAGAGAAATATTTAAAAAGAAATCGGCGATAACTCGTAAACGAGCTAATCAAAAATATCTAAAGTTATGATGAGATGCAACACCCGGTATGAGTAATAGAAACAATAAAATAGCAGGTTTATTTAGATTTTATAAAACTAGAACGCTTCGTTTGAGTAAGTAATGTTTTTTGTATCATCCAATATTAAATTTTATTTTTTTTTGTCATTTTTATTTGTTTTTCTGGTATTTTAGTAAGTTTTTAAACTATACCTTTGTTAATTCTCTGTCATTTTTTGTAAATTTATTAAAATAGGACACTCTGTACGACATTATATTAATGCTAATCGTTTTATAAACGAAAATATAATTATAGCTGTTAATTGTAGCTTAATTATGTTTGTTTTACGAATCATTTTTGTTATATTATTATATGTGTATATAAATATACACCAACAACATGAACACAGCCATGTTCAAATATAAACGTATTTAATTATTAATTTAGTAGTTATTAAGCAATGTCAAACTTAAAAAGGTATCCTACGTGCCTCACTAGACCACAATTAGTTTGTTGAATGCATATTTAACAAAGTATAGAAGGGTATAATTACTTGTATATACATAAGATGTGTGTTTTGTATGCCTACGTATATAAAATATAAAAATAGCATTGAGGGGTATGTAAAAATAGGACTTCCTATGCCTTTTATTGGGTGATTGAAACTACCCAGGGGTTAAATCGTTCGAAGGGAGAAGGTAATTTTTGTAATTTCCTTAGACAAAAAATAGGAAAGTATGTCAACTACAGGTCTTTTTAATGATATATTGGGGTTAACGTTCTTTTTTTAGTACAAAAGTAGTTATTTTATGCCTGGTTCAAGTCGATACTGAAAAATAATCAAATATCATTAAAATAATATTGTTAAAGAAATATACAACATTTTAAATATTTCTTAAAAGATTTTAATATTTTCCTAGTTTTTTGATATTTTTTATATTATATGTATAACCCTAGATCATAACTACATAGACCCATTTTTTTGATAGAATCTTGTAGCCGATATTAAATGCTGGTTGTCACTTGAGTCCAACGTTGGTTTCAACGTTGTAACCAACAGTTGGCAAAGGTTTTGACAATATTGTAATTGACAAGCGTGATGACAAACATCAACAAAATTTTCCTTATGTTTGGACTAAATTTTCTCGAAAACAAAAACATAATTTAAAGTTCCGTTACAATACGGCAATAGATTGAAGTTTTCTGATTACAGTGATATATTCGCTCGCTATTTTATGACAAATGCTGAAGCTCTGCAAACCTTAATCAAGCCTTAATCAAATCACGTGTGTTTGGAATTTTGGGTGTGGCTTAACACGACAGGATCAGGCTAAGCCTTAGGCAGATTTCTGAAATATAATATATATTTCCTTCGGCCACACACCCGTTTTACCCGACCCCTGAGAGCGACCCGAACAGTACAGCGTAATAGACTCGTCCTGCAGCCAGATCTTAGAGTAATGGCAGTAGATTTGATTCATGTATTTTTCCTTGTTTTCCAGATGACCAAGGTAACTCATACATCGCCAGAGGATGCCAGAATCCACCAGCATTCGGTTGCGAAGCCATAGCCAAGACTGCAGGCTGGCTTTCCGGAGAAACTTACCAGAGTTCTTGCAGCACTTGTGAAACAGATAAGTGCAACTCTGCCACCAAACTCACCGGATTCACTGTCTTCGGTCTTTTGCTTGCCACCCTGGCATTCCTGTTCTAAAACATCCGCAAAAACGCTTTAATTTTGCTTTTCTACCCATTTTCTTCAAGTTATTTATTATGATAGTCTATTATTAAGTGTGTAGTTTGTATAGACAAAAGCTTTTTTCTAAATTCTTTGTCTTTAATTGTGATTATTTCTGTCGGTGTTTATAGAAATGGACCACATCGGAAACAATCTAAAGTGGGCCATACATGTTTGAAATTTTCGATTTACCTAGCCACAGAAGGCATTTTCCTGGAAGCATGTTACAACGTGTATGGCCCACTTTAAAAAAATATTCTTTGTACATTTTGTTTAAAACATTAATAATAATTGAGCATAAAGTGGGTCACACACGTTCAATTTACTTGACAATAGTTTCTCATAGTCAAAAAGTTATTTATGATAGTGTATGTTAAATGTATATAATATATAGATCGTCAAATATAGGGTATTTGGCACTTTTTTTGTGATAATTGATAATGTTCCAAGGCAATAGTAGGAGATCTTGTATCTCATAAGAGTCTATTTAGACAACTGTTAAGTCTGTGTAGGATATTATAGCACTTGCTAAGTCTGTGTACGGCATGATAGCACCTGCTTAACTTAAAAAATACTTTATTTTTTCACCTAAATATCAAAACAAAAATAAACAAAGGCATTTCTCACAGTTTGCAACAAGTATCCTATATTTGATGAGCTATAATTTATTAATTTTTCTACTTTTTTTTCTTGTATGTATAGTATTAAGTTTTTAATAAAATACCATAGCAAAAAAAATATGCATACGTGTTCGAAATCCTTCTTATATTGTTTCAAATTTGATAAGAGTAAATTTTACAGCATTTCAATACATTTGTTAATTTTTAATTTGTTTTAAGCATGATTATAGCCTGTATGTCTCAATTTTATAATACCAATTTTTGTATACTATCTATAAAACATTTACTAAAGTCTAATATTTCCTAATAAAACTATTAGAGTGGGTCACACACGTTAAATGTTTACTGGACAAAAGTGTCTGAATGACTCGGTTATAGATTTTCTAACGTGCATGTCCCACTTTAAAATCATATTTTTGAATAACTTTCTTTGAAATATTATAAAATAACATTGACGGCACTATCTATAGCTATATTGAAATATATTTTTCTATATCATCTATCTATCGAGCGTTAAATACATTGTACCATGTAACAGAAAATATAATGATATATTTAAGATTTATATATATGAAAAATAAAAATAAATGTTATTGCATTTTAGAACTGTGTTAGAACGCGGTAGAAAAAGCTTTTTATTGTAGGTTAGGTTTAAAAATGTGTACAACAAAGTGTCTCCTAAGTGTGTTTCTTGTTAAGTATAGCTTTAGCATCTTTTTTTATATTTTAAAAAAAATAAATTTTGTTTTTTAACCCGTCTTTTCATTGGAGCCTAAGTTTTTAAATGAAAAAAGTAAATATTTTTTTTCCATATCAACTGTTAAAATTGCCTTGTATCCACTGATATCTATCAAAAATAGTAGATAAAATAGTACTTTATCCGCAAGGATAGATTAAATGATACTTTAACAGGGAGGATAGGTAAAAAACATTATTTCTTCTCGCACGTTTTTTAATTGCTTCCATTTTTGAAAATTTTTGTATTCCTTTTCATAAGTTATTCGGGATTTATGAAAGAGAATTAAAAAATATTGACTCAAAACTGACAACTAAGAGACAGCTTTATTTATTTGTCAAATTAAATTGAAATAATAATTTCGGAATATTTTTGGAACTCGTTATGGAAAAAAAATAATTTTTTATACATGACGATAAAATTGCATTATCGTCTCACGAAATTAATTCACAAAATACCATTTTATCGTCTTGTATAAAAAATAACTATTGTTTAAATTTGTTATAAGATTTTTATTATCTCAGCCTCATGTAAATAAGTATAGGCTTGGTGCATTTCAGTTCATTTAATTGTTGCAGATTATTAAAAAAAATATTAAAAAATCTTCTTCTTCTTCTTATCACGCCCACTCCTGCCGAAGGTTGGCGATCCAAATGGTAATTGTGGCTCTGGAAACTGCAGCCCAGAAGATTTCCACAGACGAGCGTTCAAACCATCTCCTCAAATCTTTTAGCCATGAGTTCTGGCGTCTTCCTACTGATATTTTCCCTTGCACTTTGCCCTCTATTATGAGGCGCAGTATATCGTATCTACCACCTCTCATCACATGACTCAGGTATTGCATTTTTCTTTCCTTGATGGTGTTCAGTATCTCTTTTTGTTTCTGCATGCGCCGGAGTACTTCATTGTTGGTGATCCTTTGTACCCATGAGATTCGCAGCATCCGTCTGTAATATACATTTCGAAGGCTTCTATTCTCTTCTCGGTCTGTGAATCCAGTGTTCAGCTCTCACATCCATAGAGTAACACAGAGAAGACGTAGCATCTGGCCATTCGAGTTCTGAGATCCGCACTGAGGTCTCTTTTTGTAAAAAATGATTTCATTCTCACGAAGATTTTTCTCGCTTGCTCAATTCTTGAAAATATTTCTCTTTTCGGGTCGCACTGACTATTGATGTTAGCTCCTAAATACTTTATTGAGGTCACTTGTTCGATTGTTTGTCCCTTGACACGCAGGTGTGCATTTATTGGAGTCTTAGAAAAGACCAATAGTTTGGTCTTGGAGACATTGAGATGCAGTCCAAACATCTCACTATAGTGGACTACGGAATCTATAATGCTTTGCAGTTCTTGTATATCGTTGGCTATTATAACCGTATCATCGGCATATCTGATATTGTTTATTGGGATTCCATTGAACTTGATTCCGCCCTGGATTCGATCCAGTGCTTCTCTAAATATAGTCTCCGAGTACAGGTTAAACAGGAGCGGAGACAAGACGCAACCCTGCCGAACACCCCGTCTGATTTGTATATCTTCCGATGTTGACTGCTTCATCTCAACTACCGCCGTTTGATGCCAATAAAGTTCTGATATGAAACGTAGGTCTTGTTCGTCAACTCCGGTTGTTCTTAGAATTTTGATCATCTTCTGATGATTAACACAGTCGAACGCCTTACGATAGTCTATGAAGCATGCAAATACATACACATTCATGTCTCTACACCTCTGTGTCATTACATTGAGGGAGAAGAGTGCTTCACGCGTTCCGAGTCCGTTTCTGAAGCTAAACTGGGTGTTGTCCGTGTGATTTTCGCACTTCTTGTAGATTCGAGTGTGGATGATTCTAAGAAAGGTTTTGAGGACATGGGACATAAGACTTATCATCCTATAGTCATGACATTGTGAGGCGTTGGGTTTCTTTGGCAGGGTTACGAATGTTGATTTAAGCCAATCTGACGGTATTTTGCTTGAGCTATATAATTTGTTAAGTAATGCTGTTACCAAATCTAGACTTCTGCTTTCGTTATCTGCAATGAGTTTAAGTATTTCAACGTTTATTTTATCGGGGCCGGTAGCTTTTCCTCTTTTCTGCGCTTTTATTGCATGAACAACTTCGTCTTTGGTTATTGCTGGAGCCTTTTCATTCAGTATGTGATCTATTGGTGGTGGGGAACAGGGTCTGTCGCATCATTAAAAAGTGTTTCGATATATTCTTTCCATTTCACAAGCTTAGCTCTTAGAATTATCTCGTTGTTATCGTTTCTTAGGATTGTTTCTTGATGTTTTCTGTGTCTGTTTGTAAATTCTTTCACTTTTTTATGAACATTGAAGGTGTCATACTTTGCTTGTAGTTGCTCTATTTCTTGACATTTTGTTGACATCCAGATCTCTTTCTCTTCCCGGCACTTTTTCCTAATAATCCCATTTAAACGTTTGTATTCTATCGGATTTGCCTTCTGCTTCCGTCTGTCATCCATGAGGTCTAGTATTTCCTGTGTCATCCATTCCTGCTTTTTGTTGGTTGCCGTGAATCCAATATCTTTTTCCCGGATATTTGTTATTCTAGTTCTTAAATCATTCCATGTCTTTTCGACATCCTCTTCCCGTACTGGTACCTCTACCATTATTTCTAGTTCTTTTTCGATCTTAGAACTGATCTCTTTCTTTTTCTCGGGGTTGTTCAATAGTGCGATTAAAAAATAGCTTGAGTCAAAAGATTTATTTAGAATTGAAGAAAGAAAATCATCTTTGGTTAAAAGTTACTTTTTTTAAATAATACATGTATTTTTAGTTGCCTAATAACATATTATATGTATTGAAATTTGAGAGAAAAAAACACTCTTTTTACAAAATTAAAAGGTCTTTATTTTTGGTCATTAGTTGTTGATATAGCTAAAGTCTCTCCTACAGAGGTTACATGTCTGCCATTTTAACAAGCAGGTTAACAATAATTTCAGCCATTTTTTGAATGTCATCTGTCGAAATCTTCCGTTTAAATTGTTCTTCTATACAATCGTATTCTATTCGAAAAAAAAAAATAGTTTTAGCTTTTAACCGTGTTAAAATATCGAAATTTAGTCAAAATAATTTATTATACGTAATATACATCATTCAGCAAAAGCAATACCGAACATTATGAGTTGTCATAGGTAGGAATGATGCTCTATTTCTAAGGAAAATTTGATAATATAATAATAATTAATAATTTTGTATTATATAGCGTTCAACGCCTTGGGAGTAGCAAGGTACAGCTTGCCATACTATTAATTATAATCTGTTAAATACACTAAAAATAAAATAAATATAGTTTGTCCACTAAAACTGTCCTATAATGCACTTAATACACGGAAAACTATATAAAATAATTTGTAACAGGTTGTTAATTTGTTTATTACTCGCGGCAAGGGCTTTATGTTTGAAATATGGCAACCTCGGCCCGCTCGTCGATAGACGACGCGACGCGACGGGACGAGTCGGCAGAAAACCCTGTAAGTGCATGCGTTCTCAATAGGCAGTGTTGCCATTCTGTTCCCCTATAAGTAACTATCCAGTTAACAACCTGTATATGTTGCCATATTATTAAGATATTATGTCTTTTACTAAAAATTAAAAAGAAAACAATATGATTTTCTAAAAATTCCAAATTAAAAATAAAATGCCGTTTGGGATATCAATATACAGGGTGAGTCTTAAAAAATTGTAAATATTTTTAGGGGTAGTATATTTCGACCCCAGAAACACGTCTATGAGTTTTTTTCGCGAAAAAAAATGAAAATTTAGTTTTCTTTGATTTTCTTTTATTTTTAGTTAAAAAACATATTACTATATATATATGATAATATGGCAACATAGGTAGTAGTATTATATAGAAATATACAAGCAAGAAAACCCAGAAAAGGTCCAGTGGTTCTCAAAATTTAAACGAAAAATCAATCTTTTTGGAAAATTTTAAAATAAAATAGGTATATCCGTTATTTTGGACTTATTTGTAAAACGTTAAAGAAAAAATGTGTTTCTTTTATCGAGATCTACCCATTGCCTGGAAACTTATATGGTGAAATTTTGATAAAATAATTTAGTACACACTAAAAACACGGTATGTCGCTAGTGGTAGGAAAAATAATTTTTAGAGGTTACTAGTTTATTTGGTTGCCTGTGATATGCATATACAGGGTGTTTCCTAATTAATCTAAAAAATATAAAATCGTTAGAAAATGAATTAAGGCGGGCTCTTAATAAGTATATTTATTTTTTTCTAGACAACCGTTTGATGAACAAGAAAAACTCAAAAGATCAATTTTGTTGAAAAAGGATGGCCAGTCAAGAAAAAAATATATTTTCTTTAAAAAAGCAGTGGTGTACCATTTATGTTAAGCAAAAAAATCGATTTTTTTAAATTTTAACACCCTGTAGATCAGAAAGGAAGTACTTTAGACCCAATGGTTATATAAAAATTGTTTTAAGAACACATGAGGAATCACACCATAATTTTTTTAGACTAATTCGAAAACACCCTGTATATTGTCAACTTGACAATGACTGCTGATAAATCAAAAAATACATTTTCAGTGAAAAAAGCCTGATTTTCGCAGGAAAAATTTTGATTTTTATTGAATTTGGGCCTGCGTTTGCAAATACTCGTTTGTTTTTTAATTTTCTATCTATCTAAATTTTAAATATCATAGTCAGAAATAGTTTATTATTTATTAACTGTAAAATGGTGTTTTCTTGATATGTTGCATCTCGCAAAGAAGCTAACAAAACTGCAAAAATGTACGTGTTTCCAAAGACGATAAGGTATGTATCTTAGATAAAAGAAAAATATATGATATGTATTCGTTTTGATTTTTTCGTTCGCTTTAAAATCTATAAATCTCGGTCTATTCATTAGACAGCCAGTCGACTTACGATCATTTACATGAAACTCTGTAAAAATAAATAAAAAATAAATTGTAAATATATATTCTTATGTTTTATTAAAGTTACTCTGATATACTAATATATCAGTGTAACTTTAAAAATAAATTCTTTGAATTCAAATATAAACATAAAAAAACATTTACAGCAGAAAAGGCGAAGGCGCTGGGTTAAACGTAGTCTCCACTAAAAACACGGAGGGGCGCTTTGACCCAAAATTTTACTATTAAGTTTCATATCTATCTTAATAGTAGATTATTTTCTTTTATCTATGGATCTACCAGCCCTGAAAATATTTGCACTTATTTAAGACCCACCCTGTATAACCTCCAATAAATTTGCACTTATTCAAGACACCCTGTATAATTATTAATGCTGGTTCACTTTTTCTAGAATAACATATAAACAAGTTGAAAAAGGACTATTTACATCATGCGGGTTTTTTAAGTTATTTAATTATAACTTCCCGGCACTTTTTCCTAATGATCCCATTTAAACGTTTGTATTCTATCGGGTTTGCCTTCTGCTTCCGTCTGTCATCCATGAGGTCTAGTATTTCCTGTGTCATCCATTCCTGCTTTTTGTTGGTTGCCGTGAATCCAATATCTTTTTCCCGGATATTTGTTATTCTAGTTCTTAAATCATTCCATGTCTTTTCGACATCCTCATCCCGTACAGGTACCGCTACCATTTCTAGTTCTTTTTCGATCTTAGAACTGATCTCTTTCTTTTTCTCGGGGTTGTTCAATAGTGCGATTAAAAAATAGCTTGAGTCAAAAGATTTATTTAGAATTGAAGAAAGAAAATCATCTTTGGTTAAAAGTTACTTTTTTTAAATAATACATGTATTTTTAGTTGTCTAATAACATATTATATGTATTGAAATTTGAGAGAAAAAAACACTCTAAAATATTTTTACAAAATTAAAAGGTCTTTATTTTTGGTCATTAGTTGTTGATATTGCTAAAGTCTCTCCTACAGAGGTTACATGTCTGCCATTTTAACAAGCAGGTTAACAATAATTTCAGCCATTTTTTGAATGTCATCTGTCGAAATCTTCCGTTTAAATTGTTCTTCTATACAATCGTATTGTATTCGAAAAAAAAAATAGTTTTTGCTTTTTACCGTGTTAAAATATCGAAACTTAGTCAAAATAATTTATTATACGTAATATACATCATTCAGCAAAAGCAATACCGAACATTATGAGTTGTCATAGGTAGGAATGATGTTCTATTTCTAAGGAAAATTTGATAATATAATAATAATTAATAATTTTGTATTATATAGCGTTCAACGCCTTGGGAGTAGCAAGGTACAGCTTGCCATACTAGAGCCGTTCGGTATACAAAGGAAGGTAATGTGGCTAGCACTACGCTTCAACCGCCTATTATTACCTCAGGATTGTCAATCCCAAGTACTAATTTAAGGCTGAGTCGACCTAGGTACCCAAACTAATTTTATTTTAATAAAAATAGTCGGCTGATGCAGTGCCGGGTGTGGGAATGGAACCCACTACCTTGAGATTGATAGACGAGAGCCTGTACCTCTACGCCACCGGGCACCGGGAAAATTTGATAAATAATTATAAAAAAAATATATAGTTCATTAATTATAATCTGTTAAATACACTAAAACTATATAATAAATATAGTATGTCCACTAAAACTGTCCTATAATGCACTTAATACACGGAAAACTATATAAAATGATTTGTAACAGGTTGTTAATTTGTTTATTACTGGCGGCAAGAGCTTTATGGTTGAAATATGGCAACCTCGGCCCACTCGTCGATAGACGACGCGACGCGACGGGACGAGTCGGCAGAAAACCCTGTAAGTGCATGCGTTCTCAATAGGCAGTGTTGCCATTCTGTTCCCCTATAAGTAACTATCCAGTTAACAACCTGTATATGTTGCCATATTATTAAGATATTATGTCTTTTACTAAAAATTAAATTATTAAGTTTCATATCTATCTTAATAGTAGATTATTTTCTTTTATCTATGGATCTACCAGCCCTGAAAATATTTGCACTTATTTAAGACCCACCCTGTATAACCTCCAATAAATTTGCACTTATTCAAGACACCCTGTATAATTAATGCTGGTTCACTTTTCTAGAATAACATATAAACAAGTTGAAAAGGACTATTTACATCATGCGGGATTTTTTAAGTTATTTAATTATAACTTCCCATTGTTTCTAAAATATAATATTTAATAGTTTTTTTATTATTAGACGCAAAAAAACATACGTGCAGTATTTATTTATGCAATTTTTATTGCATTCGTGTGACGTATTCAGCATAGTGTACTTGGACGTCCTTCAAAAAACACGGCTCAATTTTCTCTTCCATTACCTATTACCATGTGTTTGCCAAAAATAAAATTAAGAATTATGTACACAATATATGCGTTTGTATAGGACATAATTAGTTAATGAATAACTAATTATTAGTCTTGAATCACAGTACGTTTCCGGCTAGGAATAATTTTATTGCGAATGACAAAAATAATATAAATAATTTACAGAATATTTAGGGAAAAATAGATAAATAAAAAAAATTGTCATATAATAAAGAATAATAGGAGATCTAGGTTTTTTTCCAGATATATATACTACGTTTTTATTTTTTAGTAGATGTAGGTGTGGGTTTTGATGTAATCTGTTGTGGTCATTATTCGACCATGTATGGTATTCCAGACAGAGCCGTACTCAGTTTCAATTTCAGATAAATACAATATAATCGAAAAAAAAAAACTGCGTCAGCGATGGTTCTGAAATGATTATCAATGATGATCAATCGATGTTCATTTCCAAACCAGCTGGACGCCGTTTTTTTTTCGTTCATACGTTAATATAAACATAAACAGACAATCCATATATCCTAGGAGCTGACGACATATTTAGAGAACATATTTTAGGCAAGCTAGAATAACTAAAAATGTATAGTTTATTAACTGCTGAACCCAGAATCCTAAGTCTGCCTGGGGGGGTTGGGGGTATTTCGCTTCTGCGCAACCCATAACATTTGCAACAAAATAAATCCAAAAAACATTCTTTAGGCAACTTGAAATTTGTTTATTCTTAAATTTTAGCATCTATTTAACCTAGAAATAAGTATGCCAGACTTTTTCTTCGGGTTTAAAGTGTAACCCGACCATTCCAAATATGTTTAATTATTATACCTGGAAAACATACTTTAGGCATTCTAAAATCTTTACGGCGTGTTTATTAGATGATATTAAAAAATATGTGTTAATTGCCAAACGAATTGAACGGGTTTTAATACTTGCCTGACGCGAATAAAGATTTTAAATGAGCGGGATAAGAATGTCTTATGAGTATCTATAAGCGCGAGAAAAATAGTTTATTGAGACCCGTGGGTAGCCGATGCGGCTGACGTAACAGCGTTTTGGAGTCGTAAAAATTAAAAAAAACTAACTAATATTGAATAAATAAAAAAAAACATTTTTTAATAAAAATGTATGATTGAAATCCTTTCAATAAGAAGGCTTTTTAATTTAAGTATTTCGTATCTGAAAGAATAAAAAGACGAATAATTATATAAAAATTAGCATAATATAAAATATATTTTTTTCAAACGTCACAAAAGTATAATTATTATTATACTTTTGTGACATATTATATTATTCTTAATTTTTGCGACCTGATTGACAATATAAAAAAGTCATTTTAACGCCTAAGCATAGCTTATTTTGAATCTATTTAGGAAGATTAACAATGGTACTTTAATAAAATTCCAGGATACTTATTTTTTTAGCACTGTACATGGTACTCTTTTGTCGGGACTACGTTTTCTGGTAAAACCACTTCTTTAAATTTTAAACCATGTTGTTGGCGCACTTTTAAAAATTCTTTGCATTTTTGTAGTCTGCCTTCATCTAAAACAATAACTTTGTCACTAGTAACTTTTTTACAAACTACACAACTTAAATGTTTTTTATCCATTGTGATTTAGTATAGTTAGTAGCGAAATTAGTAGTTACTAAAATATTTATTTGCAGTAATTATTCTAAACTATTTACACTATGCACATCAATATTTAATTTATAAATACATATTTGTACATGGTAACTTAATTCCAACAAAAATAATCTCTGAATTAAAAGCCTGCAAATAATTGAAATGAAACCGAAAAAAAATTGTTTTTATGAAAATTTGAAGTACTCCAAAATACTGTTTACGTCAGCCGCATCGGCTGCCGACGGGTCTCAATAAACCATAGCAATAAACTTCCTTCTCGCGCTTATATAAGATACTCATAAGACTTTTTTGTCGCGCTCATTTAAAATCTTTATTCGCGTCTGGCAAGTATTAAATCCCATTGAACTCGTCTGGCAATTAACACATATTTTTTAATATCATCTAATAAACAAGCTATGGGTTGCGCAGTAGCGAAATACCCCCAACCCCCCAGCCAGACTTAGGATTCTGGGTTCACAAGTTATTAAACTTTATTTTTTTTTGTTATTCTAACTTGCCTAAAATATGTTCTCTAAATATGTCGTCAGCTCTTAGGCTATATCTTCGGGGACTTTGAACACATATCAGCCCAAGTCTAGAGGAATCGTTTAAAACCATTTTCAAAACTGTGAGAATTTTTTCTACCGATGGGCCTTTTTTAACTAATTTAACTGGGGTACGAACAAAATCTTCAAAATAAATTCATGGGATAAAAATTACCAAGATTTGTATACTTTTAATAAAAAAAAATACATTTCTAAAATTACAGATGATGTGTTTGAAAATTCAAATGAAAGTTTTCACCGACCCTTGTTGGTCTATTGTAGCTCATTCCGAACCTGCGCTCTACTTATTTTTCCCTACTATTTCGCTGATTCTTTCACGGACGGCGCTGCTCGGCTCGAAGTTTTGGTACCGCGCGCACAAACAACAAACCAAAGAAATCGTACAAGAGAAAACATCAGCCGCGCTCCTGAAAATACAACGCAGATCACAAACAACAACCAAAATGAAAACAATCATTAGTGTGTTGGCCCTATTTGCCGTTCTTAATCTGGGTAAGTTTCAAAAAATTTATTTTTTGAAGGGTTTAAAAATATTTTTTTGTGCTACCAGGGTTGTGACGCTGAAAACTTTTAGTACATTTTGAAAATAATGTTTTCGGGCTTCATAAGTTGATTGTTAATTTCTTTATTAAGTTATTAGGGCTTGAAAGTTTACTGTTTCTTAATTTTCATAATTTTTTTGAAAGTTCTAGTACATTTTTGTAATTTCAAAAAATAGTTTTTTTAATATATTAAGAATTCTCCAACGTTTACTGTCATTTTCTTTAAGTCTGAACGACATTTTATATATTTCTGTTAGTAAATAACATTAAGCAGGTATGTAATTAGAAAATAAATAACCATAATGTTTCCTGGTAACATGTACGTTTCTGTCAGGGTTGTGACTTTTTTTTGTACACATTATTTAAGTAGCTTTAACTAATTTTTTTATGTTGTCGTGTTTTTTTGTCATAGTTTTGTTACATTTGATTAATTTCTTTTGCAACACACTCTTAACTTATTATTAACTTCATGATTTCCAATTAAAAACTACATTTTTTGAATTGCGTATTTATAGAAACGATTAATTTAAAAGTAAAAATAAATTTACTGCATTGGAGATTATAACTTTTATGTGAACAACCAACAATAATAGTTGTTGATATATTTATAATTAGTAAAAATTGAGGAAAGAAATATTAATTTTTAAACCTGATAATTGAACAGGTTTCATGCTGTTTGTTAATTTTTTATTTTTATTCTATTTAAAGTTAACACGACATATAATTTTTTACGTAAATACTATTTTTTACCATACCATCAACCAATATACAACCAACATGCCTAAGTAATATACAGGGTGAGTCTTAAACAGGGGCGCATATAAGGGAAGGGTAATGGGGGTAATTACCCCTCCCAGAAAGAAATTAATTTATTTTAATTATTTCTTTCGAAAATCGACAACAATGTCATCACAATGAAACGGTACATTGTGAGACAGGAAATTGTAGAGAGAAACAAGGCCTATAACATAGGATACAACATTTTAATGAACAGTCCTTTCCATAAAATCAATAAAATGAAAAATATACGAAATAATTATATATGTACTGATTTCTTTCGAAAATCGACAACTATGAAACTATGAACCCTTCCCCGACACAAACGGTACATTGTGAAACAGGAAATTGTAGAGAGAAACAAGGCCTATAACATAGGATACAACATTTTAATGAACAGTCCTTTCCATAAAATCAATAAAATGAAAAATATACGAAATAATTATATATGTACTGATTTCTTTCGAAAATCGACAACTATGAAACTATGAACCCTTCCCGGACACAAACGGTACATTGTGAAACAGGAAATTGTAGAAAGAAACAAGCCCTATAACATAGGATACAACATTTTAATGAATAGTGCTTTCCATAAAATCAATAAAATGAAAAATATACGAAATAATATACATGTACTGATTTCTTTCGAAAATCGACAACTATGAAACCATGAACCCTTCCCGAACACAAACGGTACATTGTGAAACAGGAAATTGTAGAGAGAAACAAGCCCTATACAGGGGCATATATACGGGAGGGGTGATGGGTGTAATTACCCCTCCCAGAAAAAAAAATAATAATAAGATAAAATTTGGTATAAAATAAAATTGTTACAAAAAAGTTAATAATACAAATTAAAACAGAATATCCAAACCAATTCTAAGCTTGTTTTTAAGTTGTAGCCCGAGTTTTTTTTAATAAGGACAGTTTATATTAACATTAACCGGTTATTATTTTAAGAAAATCAAAAATATGTAGACTGTGTGTTTCTAGAGTATAAATACCTATATAAAATTTTATTAGTATGTTATATAGGTACTAATGTTGATTTTTAAGATATAAAAAACTACCCTTTATTGTTGACTGGAAATTACTACAGATTTTTTGCAACAATCAAATGTTTTGATGTTGTAAAACTAACAAGATTGAGTCTGAAATCGATTTTATTGATTTTCATTGGCATTGAGATTATAACATCAATACATCTAAGTTAATCATGGCTAAATATATCTAGTTGGTAACAAGACATAATAATTTAACAGCATAATATTGAAGATAACACTATGAACTGCCCAAGTTTAGTTGATAATATGAATAACTAAATATTTAGCTCTAATATTATAGCGATAAAACATTCACCTATAACTCGAAACAAACATAATTTTCTATTTTTATACCGTGACAAGTCAACACGATCATGATCGAGTCACCTGTTTAATAATGCCGATGTTTCCTTGAAAATTAGCATTCGTTAAGTTATGTTGGCTTTTTGAGCAGGTAATCTTGCAAATAGGTTGTTTTTAATTTAAAATACAAATACAAAAAAAAATTTCATGTTTTTTAAAGATTAATATATTTTTTTCTGGTTGGCCGATTTTGATGATTCTAGAAGGAATGTGTCGTAAAATTATATGACTTTTTCTTAGACAAGGAAAGAGAGGGGACAGGTAACAGGGCAGCTGAAAGTGAGGCCACTTGTCACCACTCGAAATTCTCCAATGGCGTAGCATCAGAAATTAGCTTGTACCTAGACCAAAGAGTAGATAAGACAAGAGACGACAGTTCGCGCGGTACATTTCATGTTTGAGTGGTGGGGAGAGTGACCTCGTCTCGCTTGTTCCTTTAAATTTTCGTAATTTTTTCGCGGGAAATTTGAAATAGACTATTATTAAAATTTGCCTGTATAGCTTATAAATAGTTATTGTATGGGTAAAGAGATAAATAGAAACAAAAAAAAATGAGTTTTCTAAATATTATATAAAATAAATTATAATTAGTAACATATTTGTCGGGGAATAAAGATAATAAAAGCAATATTTTGTATATCGTTGGTAAACAAGAGAAAGTTACCAAGTCGATTTGTAAGAAATGTTTTATTTACGTGTATTTTTTTACATATGGACTTGAACAAGTGTAATATCACAATGTGGAGTTTATGTACAAAAAATAGAGTTGCTCAATTTTTATTTAATAAATACTCGCAATTACAAGCTTCTAACCATGTCTTTGATCTATGGATTACATTTAGTTTAATAACATAATTATATAGTATATTTCTATAAAAATACTTTTCAGGATCCTTTGGAAAAGAGTGAAGACCTATTTTTGCAGTGTTTATAAGCACACACAATACCACCATCTCGTCTTTTCCTGCTACTCGTGTCCTGTTCAGTATTCATATTTAACAATAATTACAAATTAGAACGCAATAAAAACGATACTAAAATTAAACCTTAAAAATTCTCAAAACGATAATATATCGAAAAACTCTGAAAACACACTTTAAAAAGGCAAAAATGCAAGAAAACAACTAATCAGATTTGTTTATGTTTAAGCCTGATTAGCACAGCCAGCACAGCTGATTAGCGTCCTAAAATCTAGAAGTGTCTAGCCCTAGCAGTCAACTTTTAAGCTTAACCAATCAGGTTGGTTAGCGTGGTTATTCGAAGGGTGTTAATTCATTTGTGTTTGTCAAAAACTCTAACGTGATTGGTCGGGCTTAATAGTTGCTTGCTAGGGCTAGACACAAGTCTAAAATCTTAGGTTCGAATAAATAAAATGCGCCGTTGTCAGATTTTCAGATTTTATCTGTTTATCTTTGAAATCGACCAACTTTAGTCATTCTGTTTCTTTGATATTATCAGTACATTGCGAAAAAAGAACCTAAACCAACCTAAACTAAAAATTTACATTTCCGTATTAACATACGTTACTTATATCCTTGTTATATTATTAATTTATTTTCAGAAAATCTTGTTTATTTTTCGAAGAAATATACTTGGCAACAGACAAAATGGGACTTGACGGGACCTTTAAATTTTAATATATCTGCGTCTCTCTTGCGAAATTCGACTTCTTTGTTCACTGTCGTCTCTTGTCTTATCTACTCTTTGCCTAGACGATACAAAATATTTATTAAAACGTAAACTAATATATCGTTCATTTTTGAGTAATGCATATACAGAATATCTAAGTCGATAATGCAAAATTTATTTAAAGTCACAGTGGACTGATTATCAAGACAATTATTTATTTATTAACGTGTGTATAATGCATAATTAAATAAAAAATACTGTAAATATATATGTTTTAAATGTGTATATACATATTACCGTATGATCGAAAAAAAACGGCGTCTTGTTTGTTTGGAAATGACAATTTCACAAATTATTATTAAAAATTACATTATTCATTGAATCCGTAAGCAAGTGTGAAGGGGATTGGCTAGATTCATTATTATACCGTATGATCGAAAAAAAAACGACGTCCAGTTGGCTTGTAAATGACGATCGACGACATTCCCCATATAATTTTACATATAAAATGACAGCGATCTTCATTTCATAGCCATCGCTGACGCCGTCTTTTTTCGATGTCGTTTTGTATAGTTTTTATGTCATTTTATATGTAGAATAGTATGGGGAATGTCATTGATCGTAATTTACAAGCCAACTGGCCGTCGTTTTTATTCGATCATACGGTATAATAATGAATCTAGCCAATCCCCTTCACACTTGCGTACGGATTCAATGAATAATGTAATTTTTAATATTTGTTACCTTCAATCATAAGAATATTCTAATTTTCCACAAAAAAAAACAATTCTAGAAGCTTTGTGTTATTTTACTTATTATTAAATTTGTATTAATTACTGAAACTGTTATTATACACCTAAATTAGCAAATTTTTTGAAAGAATATTTAAAAAAATATAGTAACAAGTAGCCCACCACAAGTTTGTCCACCCCCAGCAAATCTTGGCAGGTAAATTTAAGTTTTATATATCAACTATACATATAGATTTTTTATCACTAGAATTTTTCATTTTTTTATAGTTTACAATTATTTTACTATTTGATAACAATACTTTATAAATTACATGTAAAATATGTAAAAAAATGTTTATTGCGGAAATTGTATTTCTCTAATTATAATTCCCTACGCCACTGGAGAA